CGGGGGTTTAAGTGGAGAGAAAATGTTTTGAGAATGATGTACAAATGCGCTTTACACAATTGATGTGTGTATGAGCCCCGAATAAAATGTTTAAAAATATATATATATATTTCTTCCCCTCACTATTATGGTCTTAGTTTTACCTCATTAATCTTGTTAAACCTACATATGTTCATTTGTATAATTACGATCATTCGATGCATGAAATCCAAGATAGAAATAGTAGTGAGAGTAATGATTCCCTGAGAGTACGGAAAGAGAGGATGTTAAGGGGGCAGTGATGACTACATAACCCCACTCAAGGGGAACGAATAACAGAATTGTAGGTGAACGGATACATTGGATGGATACAGCAAAAATAAATAAAATATAATAAGGGTTCCTAGGGGGCAAGATGGGAAGGGAGGGGATAAAGGGGAGCTGTTATCAAAGAGTTCAAGAAAAAAGAAAATGTTTTGAAATGAATGATGGCAGCAATTCTACAATTATGCTTGATCTAATTGAATTATGGATTGCTATATCTGTAAGAGCTCCCAATAAAGTGAGTTTTAAAAAACCATGTATGTATGTTGTATTTTAAGTATATATATATATTTCTGAGAGGAGTTGTTGATGGATTGATGTGGAAGTCAGAGAAAGAGAAGGTAAAAATAACTCCAATGTTTTGGCTTGAGAAATGAGGACATAGAATTATTATACAGTAAAATTCTCAAACACCATAAGAAAAGGGTGATTCTTACAGCTTTCCAAGAAAAAAAAGTCACATACCAACAATGGAATCGATCTATTTCTAAATACCAGGAGTAGAAAATAAAAAAACTATAGAGCAAGAGGTAAAATTCTGATTGAAAACGATTTTCAAACTAAAATTCTATGCTCAAGCTATCAATTCAGGGTGGACGTAAACTTTGCCCCATGATTTCTTTTGTTAAGATGCTGCTGGAAGTGGTTTCCACAAAAAAGGAAGGAGTAAATCCAGAAAGGGGAAGAAGCAGGAGCCAGGAATGCAGGCAGAGATATGCGAAGTCCAGGAAGACAGCTGCAGTTCAGCCTGATGCCAGGCAGACAATCCCAGGAAAGCCTACTTAATGTGCCTACAGGTTCTCAGGGGAGAGCTATACTTTCCATGCTGCTTCAAGGTCAAATTAGAGGTAGATGCACTGAAATCTAAGTAGTTAGAAAAAATTAAGGCAAATTTTAACTCTAAAGAAAACAAAGAAATAAAATGACTAAAAACGATGATCTGTACCTACCCCATTAGAAGAAATGGTGTGTAGAAGTAGGTAGAAGGGTTTAAGAGAACATCGTTCTCAGTGTCCACGGTGGGACGCAAATAGACAATGTTTCAATTGGACTCAGCAGGACTAGTGAATTCTTCAGGGGAAAGCAGAGGTGGAAATGAGAAAGTGGAACTAACAGAAATTGGGGACTATGGAGGAGGGAGCAGACTGCTGGGTCTTAGTGTAAGCCACACCCAGCTGTGTGATGACGCCAACAGGTGCTTGTTTGCACTTCGGTAGTACAAAGAACTTTCAGTGCACAAGCAGTCTCTACATTTAAGATGTTAAGAACATTTTCAGTAGCTCAGTTGTTAAGTTAAACATGTCAGTATAAAATCTTTCCATTTTTTAATAATTGAAAGTTGGTTTCAATTTATTTCTGAAAGATACTCATTCACATTTTATGTTGGAACACTATATATTAAAATGGAACTTTTGCAATGTTTACTCAAATGGACATTTGATAAGTAAAACTATCAATTATTTATAAAAATAAGGTCATTCAAACACATAAATATAAATAATTTATATCATTTGGATAAAATAATGTAAATTTATTTTTAGCATTTTAGAAAAGTTATACAAAATTAACATGCCTTTATCACTTATCTTACTATATCTAACTATATCTTCACCATATCTAACATCCCCCACCCCCACCCCCCGCCAATGGCTTTATGTTTGGGTGTTGATTTCAAAGAACTGTATTTTTTTTTTTTTGGCCTACTACTGAAATGGCTTAATGGGCTAATAAATCCAAGAGGTCCTGACTTGGTGATATATTTTACATTGTTTGAAGCTGGTAAACCTTTGGGCCTTTCTTCAAGAGGTAACCCTGGTCATTCAGTGATCCAACAAAGTTTTCAAAATCAACAACCTGGAAGAAAACATCAAAGTTAGCCCATAAGTAATGTGCCAGAATACGATTTTAAAAGTTAATCTCTCAAACGTAACAACTGTCAAGTTTCTAGAAAAAGAAAAACAAAAGATTACATTTCTTTTATAGAAAATTGCCTATAGTTGAGCTTTGGAGTCAACACTGAACCAAACGCAAACACTCTAGTATAAACCCCATCAACCATCCAGTTAATTCTGACTCATAGCAACCATACAGAACAGAGTAGAACTGCCCCACAAGGTTTCTAAGGCTATAAAGAGTTCCAGAAACAGCTGCCACATCTTTTTCCCAAGTTCTTGCTCCCAAACTTCAAATTCACTGCCATTGAATCAATTCTGACTCATACCAACCCAACAGAGCACAGAACTGCTCCTGTGGGTTCCCAAGATTGTAACTCTTTATGGGAGTAAATAGCAGAGAGGCTGGTAGTTTTGAACTTCAGACCTTGAGATTAGCAGCCCAACATATAACCTACTATGTCACCAGTCACTGCCATGGTGTCAATGATGACTCACTGTGACTCCCTTTGGGTTTCTGAGACTGTAACTGTACTTGAGCAGACAGCCCAGTCTTTCATCGGAGCTGCTGGTGGTTTCAAACTGCCGACTATGCGGATCACAACCCAACGCGTAACCACTGACCACCAGGGCTCCTAGGTGAGTTCAAATCACAGACTTTCTGTTTAGCAGAGGAGAGCTTTAACCACTGAGCTAGTTTCTTAAATTAAGTGGGCAATGTGGGTGAAGGTGTTAAAATGACTTGCCTACAAGGGATTAGCAGAAACTACGGGAGACTGATTTCTGCTACAGAGCTTCCCCTTAACTGGATGCTGAACAACTTTTTGGAACTAAGGGAGATAAGAGTCTTAAACCAATAAAACCTGGTTTTAAAAGATCCTTAGCCGCTGATTTCATAGCTTAAACTAATTAGTATTATACAATACCCCATAGAAAATAAGACTGAAAAAAAAAAGAAGACTTCTATTTTAAACCATGCTGATATTGAAAGGGTATTAATTCTGAAAAGATCAACTATGTATTAAGGACCTCCTGAAATTATTAGAAAAAATATTTATTAGTATCTAATTTATCATACCTGAATGTTTAGCTCTTTGGCAATTTGTCGAAGTTGATGAAATTGAAATAAATTATTATAAGTTCTTTCAGCAATGTTGTTGAGAGCAGAAATAAATCTTTTGGCTGCAGACCGGTTGCTCATTCCAGAGCCATGCTGTGAGCGCTCAAAATCTAAGTTCCCAAATTCATCAGAGTAAGTTCCCAGCATGCTTGGTGGAAAGGGGAGAGAAACAAGTTACCCAGGTGATACAGCTACAGTAATCTGTGTTCAGATTATAAGAAGAAAAACCTGGAAGTAGTCATGAAGGCTCATTAGCACAGACTTCAACACGTATTTACTGAGTGGCTACTAAAAAATTCACCATGGTCTCAACTGTTGGAGAAACACTGGGAGGACAGTGGTTAAGCATATAGCTGAGAACTAAACAAGGTTGGTAGCTCCCACCCACCAGCCACTTGACCTGAGAAAAATGTACAGCCTAGAAGCAAATATTGGGAACAGAGAAGTCTCCATGGATGGGCTGGTACCAGCCTGGGGATGAAGAGACAGCTGGGTAAAGTTTCTCTCCAGGAGGAAAATGATAAAACTATTGACCTCAAGTTCCAAAACTGACCAGAGCCACTGGACAATTCAGAATGGAAAGCACTCAGGACTAGAGCTAGAAATTTGTAGAGGGTAATTTTGGAAGTGCCTAATCAGAGATGTGTTGAAGTTTCTGAAGCGTTCAGTTTGGTTTATGAGTGAGTGGAAAAGGGTGTCTGCTCACCTCATCTTAGTAACATCATCATTACTAACATCAAACACTATTGATCATACTGAGTGCAGACAAATGTATCAGACCATAATCCTGTCACAGTATCAAGCACCACTGTATGATGTTTCAGCACAGTCCTTTGTGGTGTGTCGTATACAAGAGGAGACTGAGAACCACAGTGTAACTGAGTGGTAGCTCCAGGTTCAATCAAAAGCCTGTGTGCTTGTTGGGACTTCAAGCAAGATGGCAGAGCAGGTTGATAAAGTCAATGCTCTTCTAGCTAGCGGCACTACTTTTACTAAGAGTCAAATAGGAATGGGCAAAGCTATTTGGTCCTGACCCCAAGCAAGCCTCAGACTCCAGGAGTCAAAAACAAACAAAATCACTCAAAATCTATCTATTACCTATGGGGAAAAAAATCAACAAAATAAGATAACAAAAACATTTCATCTTTAAATTAGTACATTTTTGGCCTTAGAAAATCTTGGAAATCTGCTAGCAGATTTATATTTTAGTTGCTAGATTGTGTTTAAAACCGTGCACTTCTAAATTAGGATGCATCCCCCTTGTGGCATAGTAAAGAAAAGGAGCTGCTTTAGGTACTGATCTGGACTGACAGTCACAGTGCACTTAAGTAAAAAGAGGAAGGTATACAGTGCTGTGTACCAAAGGACATAGATTACACATTTGTTTGCAATGTTATTTTTAGCAGCCCGATGCTTAATCCACTGTGCCACCAGCGCTCCTTTGGCAAGAGCACTGGTTAAGTAAACCACAGCACATCTACATAAAATAATACTATGCAACTATAAAAAAAATCTGTTTTAATAGGGAAAGATCTCTGGACACACTGCCCAATTTAAAAAGGGTATCAACCCAACCCAAACATATTTCCATCAAGTCAGTTCTGACTCATAGCAACCCCTATAGGGCAGGGTCGGGTGCCTGTGTGTTTCTGAGACTAACTCTTCATGGGTGTAGAAAGCACTATCTCTCGCCTATAGAAAGGTGCAGAGCAGTGGACACAGTACGTGATTTACAAGACACAGATGGGAGGGTGGAGTATGGGTAAGAAGGAAGGGTGAGTGGTCCAGAGGTTGGGAGCAAGTGTGTATGTATTAACCAAACCCCCCAAAAAGCAAAAAGGATAAAGATTATTAACACAGAATTATTTTGTAATCATAGAGAAAAAGTGATCCAATGGGCTAAATAAAATGATTTTCCTTCCCTAATTAAATGCATACTTTAAGAAGGGAATATAATTGGTACTTCATGCAAAGTAGTATTTTAAAATTTAATCTTACCTATGTTTCATAATTTCAACTATATCCTCAGCATCTTCTTTGGTTGCTTGCTCTCTCAATTCCAACCTCGCTCGTGCCTTTGAAGGAAAGCAGCATCTTTAGTTATGGCAGGTAACAAAAGATAAATCTATTTGCCACTGGTTGAACAGACATGGTATGTTTACAGTTATTTCTTTCATATAATTTACACAAAAGCTGAGTATTCAGATGGTGAAGTTTGTAATCAACATAACAGTTGTTCAAAATGGTCTGATACTTTAATATGAAAATGAACACTTATTAAATATATGCATTAAAATACAATTTTTATCCAATAACTTATCTTTCTGTGAATGTTGACTTCAGAAAGTTTGATTATGAAATATATATCTTTTTTTCTTGCCTTTTACTTGCAGTAACACATACAAACCAATCTTTTTAAATGACACCTCAGAATTAAGGATTGAAAGGCCCAAATTGGACCCAGTCAATTTTAACTAGCAAAGTTCCTTACCATTTCACAGCTGTGATACTATGTTGCTGGTAAAAAAAATAGGCATTATTCTTATGGGCCCGTGATGTAGCAAATCAAATAGGCAAAATATTTTATGAATTCATGGTCCAATACACCTGATTTTGAATCCCAGAATCTTTAGTCAACCCAAACACTACAGGAGTCTCATAGGTGCCAAATAAGTGCATGACATATAACGTGTTTAGAAGGAAGATGGGCCATGGTGGCACACTGGTTAAGCACTCAGCTGCCACCAGCGGCTCCACAGGAGAAAGGGCCCGAGGACCTGCTTCTGTAAAGATTGGGAAACCCTGAGGCAACCCTACACTGTCACATGGAATCCCTGTGAGCTAGAACCAACTCGATAGCATACAACTTATACAGAAATCAAGTCTGTTATGTAGAACGCTACTCAAAAGAGAAAATACAACCCCTGCCACGTCCCCTGCCCCCCTTTTAAGCTAAAAAAGCATATACACTTAAAATAAATAAACCTCTGTTAAACGAATTAGAGATTCCAGCTGCCTGGTTGTTATTGGTGAGCTATTTAACCGCTGGCTCTGTTTCCGAAGCTCCAGGTAAAAGTCCTGAAGAACTTGGGCGGCGTCTGTGGAGAGCCTGGGATAGACATACTGCCGGGCGTAGCCAATGTATTTTCTCAAGAGCTGGTGGGGAATGGGGTCTATTGCTTCTCCAGGCATCACCTAAAGCATGATAAAAGGCCCCAGATTACAAGGCTGCTTCAATAAATAAATTTACCAAAGAAAGTATTTCTGCTAAAATGGCAGTTTATACAAACATGAAATTCAGAAAGAATTGCCAAATAAACCAGACATTACAATTTTAGCTTTCAGTCTTTATTTCAAAAGAAATTTACATGAATCCTAGTACCATAATATAAAAGGTTTTGGTCTTAAAGTGTATATATTTTTTGTTCTACCCTAAGCAACACACTGAACTCTTGACATTCAAGCAGAATTGGACTGAACGATTAAGAGGAAACATACCTTCAGTCTTTCTAACAACGGTTTATCAGAAACCACTTCAAGTACAGAAGTATTTGAATCTTGACTGGCCACGCGGGCTACCGTGGCACTGCTGACAGCTTTCTGCTTGCCAGCTCTTATTGCAATCACGTGTTCAGAGAGTAAGTGGTCATGGTCCTCATTTGGGGTGTCTAACAGGATAAAGACCAAGTCGAATCTGGACAACAGAGCACTCCCCATTCTAAGAAGCGTAAAAGAAATAAGAAACAATGACGGATCAAACATACAACGGAAATTTATATGTATTTGTTCACTACTCAAGTTTTAAGCAGAACTTTAAAGAAATCAAGTTTTAGGTTAAAAAACAAAAGACTTTTTGGATTTAATACACCTACCCATTCCAGAGAGACACTGAGCCACACCATCTTCCAGGGGTGCACACACCCTTGGCAAAGGCAGGAGGCTTGGGCCCTTTCTCACAACATCAAAACCATGGAATTTTGCATCATGTTCTATTACCACCACGTGACAATGACCCGGGAGTATGCAAGTGTTCAGTTAAAATGCCAGAGGTCTATCAGAGGTTGTCTCGTCAAATAGCTCTTAGCAAAATCTGTTATAGGGAACCGATTACAAGGATCTACATGTGACCTTCGGGGACGGACAACAGAAAAGTGGGTGAAGGGAAACATCGAACAGGGCAAGATATGACAATTTATAAATTATCAAGGGTTCATGAGGGAGGAAGGAAGGAGGGGGAAAATGAGGACCTGATGCCAGGGGCTTAAGTGGAGAGCAAACGTTTTGAGAATGATGAGGGCAATGAATGTACAAATGTGCTTTACACAATTGATGTATGTATGGATCGTGATAAGAGTTGTATGATCCCCTAATAAAACGATTTTTTTAAAAAAGACCTTAAAAATGCAATGAGGAGCTGATATTAAGGGCTCAAGTAGAAAGCAAATGTTTTGAGAATGATGATGGCAATAAATGTACAAATGTGCTTGAAAAAAAAGAAAAATCTAAGTACAGCTATATGTCTACTAGTCGTTGTGATAAAACCATTATTCTACTCAGTCACTACAGTATTACCAGTATACTCAGAGTACAAGCCCTTAGACTCCTGTTCAGTAGGATTTTTCAAACCTTTCCCATAGCACTTTGTTATTTTCCAATGAAATACAACTCAACAGATTTGACGTTTTTAGTAGTGGCAGTACAGAGACACCTAGAATCTCTTAACTCACTTATGATTTATGCTCTGTTATGATTGCAGTTTGGGTGAAAGTGCAATGCCTATGAGTATTACATTCAATCATGTGTACACATTTTGCTTCATGACATTGACTGTAACCCTCTCAACAGCACTGTCCCCACTCTCTCCTGGGGCTCCCCATGTCCACTTGTCTCTTTTTCCTGCTCCTCCTTTGTCTTCTGAGCTTTGTTTTGGGACAAATGCTGCCCTTTTGATCAGACGGTTGACTTCATCGAGGAATACAGTCCTCCCCGGTGTTATGACTCACTAAAGAGGCTTCTCTATTGTTTGGCTGAAGGTAGATCTCAGGGGGTAGGAGGGTTCAGTTCCAGACTTGAAGGGTACCTAAGGGCTACAGTCTTGGGGGTCCTAGGGGTCTCTCTCAGACCAGGCAGTTTGGCCTGTTTTCATTCTACATTTCCCCCCTCCCTCTCTATCTAGGACTTCGTATTATGATCCTAATCAGAGCAATGAATAGTAGCAGCCAGACACCATCTAATTCTTCTGGTCTCTGGGGAGCAGAGGCTGTGGCTTGTGTGGTCCTTTAGTCCTTTGGATGAATTGATTCATTGCACTGAAAGTGTAAATTACTTTTTTCCCCACTTAGTGCTCCAATTTTTTACTGAGGAATTCTTTTATCTTTTTCTCAGTTTTCCATCTCTTCAATCTATTTTTCCCCTTTCATACACTTCTGTCCAAATTGTATACAATAAATTAGAAGATAAAGCATGCATATGTCAACATTGTTTTTGAAAAAGTGGGATTGTACCACATTCACATTTTATATATATGTGCTCTCTCCACTTAAAAAGTAAAGCACAGGTATCTTCCTGTATCAAGACATACAAACCTCATTGTAACTGCTACTTCCCCCTGCACAGTTAACTGCAGTTAAGGCACTCCCCCTCCTGATGAGCATTTTCAGTTATTTCCAATTTTTGGATAGGTGTGTGTGTGTGTGTGTCTTCCTACACCCAGCAAGTAATATTGAAATCCTAACCTTTGTTTCTGTAAATAAAGAGAATGGTGGTGCTATCTGATAAGCACTTCATTGCTAACCATAAGGTAGGTAGTTCAAGCACAGCAGCCACCTGGCAGGAGAAAGATAAGGTTGTCTGTTCCCGTTAAGATTTATAGCCTAGGAAACCCTGGGGTCATATGAGTTGAAATTAACTTGATTGCAGTGGGTTTTTGATATGGGTATCTGTAAATACAATGCTTTTTTGGAAACAGTAATTTTCATGTGTTATGTTAACGAAGTCCACAAGCCAAGGAATGCCAAGGAACTACCAGAACTACCAAAAAAAGGAATGGCCCTCCCAACCTTGAGGTTAGTAGCCTAGCATGTGTAACGTGCTATGCATTAAGCGTTAAAGTCAATGTTCAGTTCTAAAGTCAATGTCCATGGGAACACCAAGCTGTGAAACCAGAGATGAGGCAAGGCAGAACTGTGGCAGAGGAGCAGTGGCAGCGGAAGAACACAGAGTCGTGGGTTTCCTGGTCCCTGGATTGCGAAAGCTAACTATCTTCTGGATGAAAACTTGCTGGTGGAATGGGTTGCTTACAGGTTTTTAATCAAGGGAGCTAAGTTTGCCTACCCACAGCGCTAAAACCGCACCTTTGGACTGCGGTTTACTGACAGCAGGTAATGAATCCACAGGATTCATTTGCTCAAGCAGGGATGAGGTCAAGGGGCCCACGCAGCTGAGAGGACAAAAGCTAAATTTGTAATACTTGCCGAGCTGGGGTAGAAAACAAAGGGCCACATAGTTGAGGCAATTAAGAACTGTGAGAACAACTGAGAGAAGGCTTTCCTGACAAGACTGTATCCTAAACACTTCTGATCTTGACTTGCAAACTGTTACCTTCCCTAATAAATCCTACAATCCTAAAAAATAAATAAATAAATAAATCAAGTTAACATCCATTTTTGGAACTATAGTCAACTTCCAAAGCTGTAAGATTAAAAAAAAATCTCTGTTCTTTAAAGCTACCCACTTATGGTGTATTTTGTTATGGCAGTGTTAGGTAATAAAGAGAGTGGTGATGAAATAACGCTGCAATACCCAGTCTGTAAATATATCTGTGCATATTTTGTGAACATTTCAACTTTTAGGTATCCTACTAATAGTAGTAGCCACAAAATGGCAAGCACTTAACCACTGTGCCACCAGGGCCCTTAAAATTGTGATAAACATTCCAAATTGTCATTCTAAATACTGGACAATCTACGTGAAAACTCATTGCCCCATTCTTTTGCCAGCAGTGATTATAAATATTTAAAATGTTAGTCTGATAGATATCAATGGTACCATATTATTGTAATTTGTAGTGTTCAAGCGTATTCATATTGTGTACATTTCATGGATACTTTTAACTTTTAGGAATTGCCATTGTAGTCCATAGTGACCTTTTATTAATTGATTTATATTAAAGAAATAAATGCGGAAGACACTTACTTTAAATTCTCAGCAACTGTTTTGGCCTTATTGTAATGTCCTCCGACTGGATTTGCAGCAGCAATAATGGAAGTTCTCGCAGGAAGGCTACAGACCACTCCAGCCTTAGCAAGACTAATACTCTGCTGTTCCATGGCTTCTAACAAGGCTTGATGTTGGTTCCCCATTTTATCAAATTCATCGATCCCACAAATACCTACAATCACAGTACAGCATATAAACAAAAGCTCACAGAGTGAACATTGTTCCATAATAAAGAATTATTCTGATTTGTCTCCAGCAGTTAAAATGATAAAAATGCCAAAGCCAAACCAAATCAATTGCCACGGAGGGAATTCTAACTCAGAGTGACTTTATACAAATAAAACAGAGTCAACTCCAAACCAAAGCAACCATCTAAGACCAGAGAACTGCCCCTGCAGGTTTCTGAACATGTGAATCTTTATGGAAGTAGAAAGCCTCATCTTTCTCCGTTGAGTGGCTGGTAGTTTTAAACTGCTGACTTTGTGTTTATAGCAGCCCAACGTGTAACCCACTATGTGATCCCCTATACATAACCCACAAACTACCCCAGTGTCCAAGGCTGAACCGCTTACAGAAAAAGACTGCCACCTAGTTCTTCTGTAAATCAAATGCTGCTTGTAAGAAAATAGGTGGTCTTTTTTTCTCAAAAATTTAAATGTAATTAAATTTAAAATACATTTTAATGAATAATTGTATTTATTTTCATGAAAAAATGTATTTATTCACTTAGCATTTGTGTGCCAGTTGCCATTGAGCAAGCCTATAGGGCCAAGTAGAACTTCCCCCTAGAGTTTCAAAGGCTGAAACCTATGGAAGCAGACACATCTCTCTTCTTGGATTGTATTGTGACGGTTACAAAAATGAATCAGATAGTGACCCTCAAGAGATGACATAAGAAAACTAAACATTCAAGAGATATAGCCAACACTACAAGAGTTTTTCACGTCCATACAGATTAAAGTCTTGGAGACTCACAGGGCGAGTCTACCCTGTCCTGCAGGGTCACTGTGAGTTGGCATCGA